AAAGTTTTGGATATATCTGTTTCTCAAGAGTTTATTTGAGTTTCAGATATACTTTACTTGTGTTAAAATCCATGGTAGATTTAGTTTACACAAAGTCACGTCAAATGTCAAATACAAAAAAAAAAAAAGCCACTTAACATTCTATCGCTTCTAAGTTGTTTAATATTCACAGAGGACTTCGTCTCAGTCAGGGACAATGTGCTTGACTGCCAAGACTAATATTTAAAGTTGACTCAGAGCCCTTATTGCTTATAGGATGCTTCTGTGGTAAAAATACAGATGGCCACTCAGGAAGCTTCTTACTCCCAGCTTGTAATATGGGATATTTCCCTTAAAAAATAGCTGTCTGGTTCCCAGGCATCATGCATGTGTGCTAGGGAAAATGGAGGTTGAGAAAGAAATTTTTATAAACACCATTACTGGCCGTAAATGATATAAGATCAAGATTGCCCCATAACCAGCTCTGTTTGTTGCATTTCTATTAGTTGAGATCTGTTTATAATCTAAATTTTTAATAAAGCTTGCCACACATCCATGATTTGAGTGAGTGATGCATGACTCCAGAAATGTATCGGAAGTCTTGGCTGGGGTTTATACTTTCTATATGAAGAACGTTTGGGGGCTTAAGCAACGTTCAGTGAAATAGCCAAAGTTTAGGTGGTGTCAGCTGAATCCTGAGGGATGCATGTACAAAACAAAGAGACTAAATCAAATACTCATTTAACAGATGAAGTATCTCTTCTATTTTCTTACATATATTTGATAAACAAGTTTTCCATGGGTAATAGAAGGAAAGAAAATAGATTCAAAACACTTTATATGAGAAATATGAACACAAACCACATACACGTACACCTAATGTAACAAATCCATTAAACAAGCTGTCGGCTTCTGATTTTGGTTTGAAGGATCCTCAGGAGCTTCTTCAGTATTATCTGAAACTGGCCGTGATATTCTGAAGACAGGAAAAACCTGGAGAAATGGGCATGCCACCCCAGATCTGTAGCTGACAGATTTAACAATCAAGGAAACTTACATACTAGGTTTGTCCTGGATGACCCAAGGTCAAGACCCAAGCTGCCAGAAGCTTAAAAGTTTATATAGAGAGGAGCACCTGTGTGCTCAGTTAAGTTTATATGGAGGCTTTATCTGGGCTCAGTCATGTGTATTTTATAGAAGATTTCAGTAAGACATGACTATCTCAAGGTCATGTCCTTGGAGCTGCTATAGGGAGTGGAGAGACAAACTGTACGTACATTCCAAGGACAGAGTCAGGGGTGAGGGGCCCTGAGTCCTGATGTCCAGCTCATGGGTCAACCAGCAGTCACGACTTCTCCATGACCTTGCCAACAGACATTCATGTCCAGGTACTGCGTGATAAGCAGCTCTCCTCTTCCCCTGCATGGGGTAATTGCTCAGCAGGGACTCAATTACTTGTTTCAAGTTGGGAAGAGGGTAATTCACAAAATGACTGCTGACTTCATGAGCTATTTGTTATTTCTATGAAACTTGAACCCTCAGGGCACACACCCCACTGAGCTGTCTGGAGGGCATTCCTGTGCTTAATGCACAGCCACCAACGCATGGATCCCCTCTTACCTGAACATGAAACAGAGCAGTGCAGGGGCCTGAGACCACCCTGCGTTAGCACAGTTAGAAAATGTGTGCAACTGACAAAAGAGGATTGGATATCCTCCGGAAGAGGCAATGCCCTTCCTGGGGAGAACCATACACAGAAGAAAGATCGTCTAGTGCCCCTGCTCCTATTTATCCTTCTGTAATACAATTTCTGAGGAAAGAGCTCTTCTTATCCTGCTGAATCACAACTACTGCAGCAGCAAAGCTGTCCCATCCTAGCAGAGCTGATCAGGTGTGGAGATGGTTTCCTGGAGGTGGGATGGACCTCGGTGGGACTGAGAAAGTGGGGCTGATGGTCAGTCATGCCCAGGGGTCTGTTCATAACCTGCTGCCCCACTCTCATTTCTGAAGGTTCTCCAACTTCCTGGGCTCACACAGAAATTAATTCCATGGAAGGCCATACAACGTGGATGTGTGTTTTCTCAATTCTGCATCCCATTCTAGTTGTATTGATTTTACTATGAGGCTTACAATGAGGCTGAGGGGTTGGGAATCCTACCCTACCGTAAGTCTTGTTCTAGTTCCATCTCTTCATTGACCCACCCAACGCAGGCCCTGAAGGATGAAATATGCACCCCTTAGAAGCAATGCAAAAACATGACCTTTATTACTCAGACATTTTCCCCCACAAACCTCAATATCATCCCACTGCAAACTTAGCTGAGCCAAGTTCAATGTTTAATTTTTTTAGGTAACCTAATTTTCTTTTTTCTTTTTTTTTAAACTCACACTTGTATTTTTTTTAATGTTTATTCGTTTTTGAGAGAGATAGAGGCAGACTGTGAATGGGGGAGGAGCAGAGAGAGGGAGACACAGAATCGAAGCAGGCTCCAGGTTCTGAGCTATCAGCACAGAACCCAACATAGGGCTCGAATCCACAGACTGGGAGATCACGACCTAAGCCAAAGTCGGGGGCTTAACCAACTGAGGCACCCAGGAACCCTATGACCTAATTTTCTAAGGCAGAACTAAGGGGGCATAAAATAAAAGACGTATAAAATATTCTTTTCTCTTTTTAGTTGGCCAAAATTCAGGTATTTCCCAGTTCAATAGGGAAAAAGTTTGAGTTCAAAGAAAAGCTTGTTAAATAAAGAAAGGCAAAAAAGAAAGTTTCCACTTTAGCCAAAAGCAGGGCTCAATCTCCACCTTCTTAGGATGGAAGACACAGTGGCGGCCCTAAGTTCTTCCAAGAACATCACAAGAGGAGGAGAAACATAGAAATGCTTCTTCCCTATCCCCTACAAACAGGCCACACTGGTAACTGAAAATGAAGAAAGAAAGGAGGAAGTGAAGGGGAGAGGAGACAGCAGCACTTATAGGAGTCTCCTATTCCAGTGCTCCTTGTCCTTTCTCCTTTATATCCTTAGCTGTCAACGTTAGACCTGTGGTCAATAGGTTGTCCTCTTCTTCTCCTTGGTGTGGTAATCAGAGAGTGTTTCCCTCATTTTCATATATAGAAGGGTCCCCAGCCTTGCCCTTGCATCGATATGAAAATTTAATCTGACTCTCAAGGCCTAATAAATTATTATTCTTATTGTTAATTGATGTAGCACTTCTTGTATGAATCAAAAAGGTCATTATTGGGGTGCCTAGGTGGCTCAGTTAAGCATCTGTCTTTTGATCTCAGCTCAGGTCTTGATCTCAGGGTTGTGAGTTCAAGCCCCACATTGGGCTCCACACTGGGTGTGGAGCCTACTTCAAAAATAGAAAAAAAGTATTATTTAAACTGATGACCATAGTCTGACTCATTATTTTCCATTTGAACTCATGCTTAGTTATGTTACTCAATCATGTCCCTAAAATAGTTTATTTAGTGGAAAAAGGCACTTACATTCTGATTCTCTTATTTCACTTATGGGCATATATGGAAACTGGGATCCCAAATGCTTATATCATTCCTATTCAGAAATAGTTCTTTCCCAGGGTGCCTGGGTGGGTCAGTCGGTTGAGGGCCTGACTTTGACTCGGGTCATGATCTTTTACTTCATGGGTTCAAGTCCCACGTCGGGCTCTGTCCTGACAGCTCAGAGCCTTGAGCCTACTTCAGATTTTGCATCTCCCTCTCTCTCTGCCCCTCCCCTGCTCGGACTCTGTCTCAAAAATAAATAAATATTAAAAATTAAAAAAAAAAGTTACCTCCCTCTGGCACCTGATACTTCACTTTCATATTCCCTTAGAAAACTATAGATAACTTTATGCTCAGCTGTGCTGGGGTATCTGGCCCAGTTTTCCTTGTGCATAGGTCAATCTCAAGAGGGCATCTCTGTTAACTTAGTCTAAATGTAAGCCCAAACCGCATTTGAGAGTACTCTACTTCTCCCAAAGACTTTCTTATTATATCCTACCTCCATGGTATCAAAGAAAGAGAATTCAGGAAAACTGGTCTAATAGAAGGTCCAAAATAATTATTTTGTAGTGTCTAAATCATAAATTCTCCATTACATATACCAGGGCTTTTTAGCTAGAAATTCTAGAAAGACATGATTTTTGACATCTGTTATCACATCATTATATAGAAGAAAATTAAAATCCCAAGAAAGGAAGACAGAGAAAAATCATATTCTTAGTACAATGTGAAAAAGAAAAAAAGTCTATGGTTCAGATACTGAACCTCCCTGTGGGAGGATGGATTAGTAAGCAGATGAAGGAAGCAGAGAAGAATCTGGAGTTTCTTCTAGATGTCCGCCTCTTTCAGTTTTCTGGGGTCATATACTTATAGCAAGTTCTGATAATACATCAAATTTCACTTTGTGAAGTTGAAACACTAACGAATGTTCCAGATGACAGTGAAGGGAAGGGATGGACAACTGTGGTAATGTTAATAGTGAGGTCACTCGTCAGAAGGGTGGTACTTGTTGGGTTAGATACACAGAGTGGAGACAACAAGAACTGAGTCTCATCTGGATCACCTATCATCTATATTATTCTGAAAAACTGACTTAATTCTCCACACCTAATGAGATTGTTATGAAGGTTAAATGAATTAAATCACATCAATTTCTTAAAGAACTTGACACCTTTAATGATGACACTCAATGTATTAGTTATTATAACGTTGGTGAATAGTTCTGTTATAGAAAATGATTCCTAGCTTACATCAATCTTCCTCAGGAAAATGTTGTCTAATCACCAACATTTACCTCTCTATGAATGCCACTGAGGTTTGCTGATTGTACTACCATTTGTTTTGTGTTATCTCCACTTTCTGATCTTATACTTCTCCCACACCATACACATCTATCTCATTGTTTGTGATATGAAGATGATGATGATGATGATGGCAATGGTGATGATGGCAATGACACCACGGAGGATGACCTATGGCTACAGTCAACATCAGATATTAGAGGTAAGTGTGAACATCATGTTTTCATGCGGTGAAACATACGGACAATGGCTCGGCGGATCTCCTTTGTCTTCGCGCTGTAAATGAGAGGGTTGAGCACAGGAGGTATGAAGAGGTAAATGTTGGACATGAGGACATGTACATAGCGTGGGACATGCTTCCCAAAGCGGTGCACTGTGGAGACCCCAATCATCGGCACATAAAACACAAGTACAGCCAAGATATGTGACACACAGGTATTGAGAGCTTTCAGGCGTTCCTCTTGGGAAGTGATGGCCATGACTGAGCGCAGAATGAGCACGTAGGAGAGAAAGATAAAAACCATGTCCATGCCAAAGGTGGACACAAGAACAAAGAGTCCATAGATGCTGTTGATAGTGATATCAGCACAGGCCAGCTTCATCATGTCTGGGTGCAGGCAGTAGGAGTGGGAAAGAACATTGGATCTGCAGATAGGCAGCCTCTTGAGGAGGAAGGGAAGGGGAAAGAGGGTGATGAAGCTCCGAGCAGCCACGGCTAGGCCCATTCCGACAATGACTTCACTGGTGAGCACAGTGGCATAGCGCAAGGGATCACAAATGGCCACATAGCGGTCAAAGCTCATGGCCAGTAGAATGCCTGACTCCATCATGGAGAAGGAATGAATGAGAAACATCTGGATCAGGCAGGCATCGAAAGGGATATTGTGGGCATTGAGGCAGAAGGTTCTGAGCACGGTGGGCAGTGTAGCCATGGACATGGCCACGTCACTGAAGGACAGCATGGACAGGAAGTAGTACATGGGCTCGTGTAGGCTGGGCTCCACTCGCACGGCCTGCAGGATCACGGCGTTGCCTCCGAGGGCCACGGCATACATGACACAGAGGGGCCCTGCTAGCCAGGCGTGAGAACTCTCCAGACCAGGGATGCCGGTCAGGAAGAAGGAAGCAGGATGAGTGACATTGAACAGTCCCATAGTGGGAGGAAGCCAGGACACTTTTCAGGATGGGACCGTGGGGACTTCTGAGAGTTGCCCTTCCTGGAGGGCAAGAAACCAGGGATAAGACACACAGGGGATGAAGTCTACACAGTTGGAAACGGATGCCTTCCTGAAATCACTGGTTAAGGGTAAATGTAGGCAAACTTTCTTTCTTCATTTTATGATCAGTAGACCCCAGGCAGGGCTAATATCCCCTCTATTTTATGAAGAAAATTAAGATATTGACAATGCTTCAATAATATTACTTAGATACAAAGAAAATTTTCTATATTTCCATTAGTTTTAAGAGCATTATTGAATGCAAATATGTCAAGTATAATCCATAGATTGTCATTGTGAAGACAATCAGGAATTTGAGTTACAATAACTCTTGGAAGTATTAAACATATCCCTGAAAATGTTTAATCAGAAGTATCACCAACTAATGAGAGCATTTCTGAGAGCTAGTTTGAATGGTGATGTGCTTTGTGAGAGAGAGGAAGGGTCCATGGGATGTGGAGGAAATGGACCACCTCTGGACACTAGCTTTTTTTGACAGAATTGTTCCAAAAGAACAAAACAAAGAGAACAAGACAACTTTGTGGAAATGCACAAACGTGTTCCTCGTTTTGGAAACATTATTACTTCTCTCCTGAATATTCTATAATTATGCTACCATTCAGCTTGTGGAAGGCCATTGCCCCAAACACCATGCTTTCACGCCTCTTACATAGTCATTATACTCTCAAAATATCCCTTATCTCAGAGACACATTCATTTACCTTCACTACAGCCTCACCTGGATCCCATTCTTGCTCTTAGAAAGAGCACCTTGCACTTGCACCGCTGTCTCTCACACACTTTCTTTCTTTTTAAAATTTTAAAATATTTACTTATTTTTGAGGGAGAGAGAGAGAGAGAGAACATGAGCCAAGGACAAGGAGAGAGAGGGAGACACAGACATGAAGTAGTCAGCACAGAGCCAAATGTGGAACTTGAACTCATGAACCATGAGATCATGACCTGAGCCCAAGTCAGACGCTTAACTCACTGACCTATGCAGGTACCCTGCACACACTTACTCTTATTGTACAGATACACTCAACTCTCATTCTTGACATTCACACTCTTGAACATGCATGTGCCCTGTGGTGCTCATACACTCAGTCCACATTGACAGATATGCAGATTTTGTATGTGTATAACATGCAATGTACACGCAGACTTCTACCCTCAATAGCATGTCACTTACTTGTGTGTAGACTGCTGTGCCCACATTAGTAACCCCTTGCCACATAGACACAGCCCCATGGACTGCATTACTAAGCTTTTCTACCATGACATGTGTTCCTGACCTCACTCCCAGAGGCTAACCCACAACTTTCTCTGTGAGAGTGATCACATTTTGTAATCTCTGGTTATTCTGATGTTCTGGAAATTCTTTCACCTTCAGTCCCTCATGATGAATGAAGATAGAGAGGGCTGGAAGACTTTTCATCTGGCAGAACTGTGTCAGACTAAGGCACCCTCATATGGGAGAAAACTCCAGAAATAATTTGTTTCCCCCTCCTTTCCCAAACCTAACCAAGCAAGGCCAGAGCATAATATCAGAATCCTTGCTGATCAGGATGGAAGAAGAGGACCTGGGAGTCCACGTATATGAAGCCCACAGACATGCTTGGATGACCGCTAACTCAGCATTATGACTCAGGGAACATTACAGACTTTCTGGGAAGTTTATAATTTGGATCTTCTCACAGTTCCTAGGAAGTATGTGGCCATTCTCTGTATGACTGATTACATCCCTTCTGGTCCTAGAGCTCAGTCTGTGAATTCCTGTCTCCCTCCAGACGTGTGATGCTTCGGATCCAGGACTGACCAACCCCATTCATCTCTTTTTTCTCCCACCTGATTGCCATTACCATTCTTCACACAACACTCATGGAAGGAGAAAAAAAAAAAAAAAAAACAGAAGGGAAGTGAGCAAAAGTGAAAAGAAACAGAGAAGGGAGAATAAAATGGGTTTCAATGACACGATTCTGTGCAGGTCAGGGCCAAAGCCATCATGCTTGTAGGGATCTGAGTTGTAGCATTTGTGGGGAGAATGACTGCCCAACAGTCCCAGGAGCACCCCCTTTTTCATTCCCAGTAGTGACTCACCTTGGGGGGGATGGTGTTTGGATGCACGTGAAGAAAAGAAAGCAATGAGAGAAAACCAACACTTGCTGAGCACATTACATGCCAGAGACTCTGCAAGGAACTCCCATCTGTGTTGATAGTGAATCTGTGACAGACCGGGAGACTCCCTGAGGTGAGCCTGCCTCTTAGTGGAAACACCTCACCTGACTAGAGAGCTGTAAGACCCTCTAATGTCTTGTTCAGTCTTTGAGACACCATTAAGTGCTGGAGAAAATGTGGAGAAGGAAAACCAAATGCACATTTCTGGATGGATTTCAAAGGTAGTCTTCTACAAAGGGGAAGATGAAAAGTCAATTCCTGTGGCAAACAAGATGAAGAAGTACTTGTCTCCAATGCGGGACCCAAGTTCCTCTGCCACGGCACTCAGAGACCCCTAGGGACAGTAGATGATTCATTATTCGTGTGTTTCATTTAACTGCTGCCATGTTTAGTAGGTGTGTGAAATGTTTAGACCTGACCCTTTCATTTTGTCTCCTAGATTATCGAGGAATCTCTTTCCATGTTTTACTTCTTCTTCACTTGGTTTAAATTAATGTCCCTTTACTCCATATGGCTGCTTGTGACCTCATCCAAGCACAGATCAGCCTTGATCTGTGGACTGTTCTGGTGGACTTGCCCTGGCCATGGGAGCTTGGGATGGCCTACTTCTCCTTCTAGATCAGTCTCCTTCCCTTTATCACTGTTTTTCAACATATTATCCTTTACGACTCTGAAGTCCTTTTACTTTGTACTTTCTAGTCAAAGAGGGCACGCCTGTGAAGGTTTGCTACAGAGTTTCAAAAAGCCGAAGTGGAGATGGAGTTGGGGGTGAACAGAGAGGCTCTGCTGATGATCAGCGTTTGTGGTCAAGGGCAGGAATAGAAGATTAGTTTGGCTAAACCCAGCTCCTGTAAAATGTAGGACTAGCTGATTTCTTTTCTCTTAATCTCCCGGGTGACTTTTATGTTTAACGATGTGTTAACTCAGGTGTTAGTTTGATTCATTTTGTAGACTGAATTGTTTGCTGCTGGGTTTCTGAAATTTGCCTGTGCCCAGATCCTGCTTTCCTCTCTGACCTGCTAATATGTCAATGATTCATAGAAACATGGATCCCCATTCACTGAATCTGCAAAGTGAGCTCTTGGTGGAAACACTGTGCATAACCCAGAGTTATAAGCTAGTGGCAGAGAGAGAACAGGAGCCCCCAGTCCAGGGGCTTCGTACCTGCTCTGCTCACTCTAATAACAAGTGCCATTCTGCTAAGCTCCAGGCACTCTCTCCTTCTTCATCTCCCCACCCCTTTCTAAGTTTCATCCTCTCTTAGAGCAGGCTTTAGGAGACTCTGCTATCTACCCACTACTGGGTTGCAAAACTCACCAGAATCCAGACAGAGGAGACACTGGGGAAATGATACATCCTCCTCTCCATCTGCTAGAGTGAATTCATGCCTGCTCCTTTTGTATTAATTCTAAGCCTTCTGAGACAACCAGGGATGCTGGCTTTGTGTCTGAGACTCATCAGGAAGATTTAGTCTCTAGAGATCCTTAAAGACCATGGAGAATAAAGCATGTCTTCTGTATCTGAAGAAGAACTCAGCAATTATTTAGCCGGCCCAATTGTCTTCCCAGTGCAAGGCACTGTCTGTGATGAATGGGCAGGTGTGTTAGAGATGAGCTCATTGTCCTCTAAGGGATCCCAGGATTTGGTAATCTGTTGACCAAGTCCAACAAATAAGATATAAGCAGAAAAAAAACAAAACAGTTTGCTTCTTGAACCCATTTAAATAGCTTGAATTGGGCTAGTTCTTTCCATCCATCCTGGAGGAAAACTGACTTTCCTAAGATCTCTGGTCACCTGCAGACGATAACACAGGCTGTGGTCAGCCCGGTGTGTATCGACAATGCCCAGGCTCACATAAGAGTCAAACTTTTCAGGGTTCAGAGTCACCCCACTTCTCTTCTCCCATCCCTCACTCACTAACCATGGCTTTTGACATGATCTTCTGAAAGGAGAGAGAAGGGACAGTAGATGATTCATTATTCGTGTGTTTCATGTAACTGCTGCCATGTTTAGTAGGTGTGTGAAATGTTTAGACCTGACCCTTTCATTTTGTCTCCTAGATTATCGAGGAATCTCTTTCCATGTTTTACTTCTTCTTCACTTGGTTTAAATTAATGTCCCTTTACTCCATATGGCTGCTTGTGACCTCATCCAAGCACAGATCAGCCTTGATCTGTGGACTGTTCTGGTGGACTGGTTCTCAGACAGCATCGTGACAGCTCTCTCTGGCTCACAGCTCATCTGCCACGTTTCTCAGGAAACGCTCAGCCTGCCACGACTGCAACAAATAGCCTCCTCAGAATAGCACTAGTCTCTCATTCAAACAGTTAGGATGTAAATCAGCAGATTTAGAGGCATGAGTAAGGAACCAGCTGGCCATGTTTACTCTCCCCAATTGTTGGTGGAACATAGGTTTCCTGAGTGGAATCTTTGAGGCCTCTCTCTGTTGACCCAAACAAAGTGGAATGTTCCTCCCTGTCCCTTTCTCTTTGGTGTAGGTGTGGGGCTGAAGGCTTAGCAATCTCCAACAGATCTCTCTAGAAATGTTTATTCAAACCCTCTAATTCACAACCTTTTTATAACTTTAATTAGGGAAGAATTTTTCATCTGACCCATATTACTATATTGGATGACCCTTTGTTTCAGTGTGACATCCTCTGCATTGTGGGGTATTTAGCTGCATCCCTGATCTTCACACAGCAGATGCTCTATGCCAGTTATGTCGCCTCTGAGGGAATGAATTACCCCAGTGGAGAAGC